AGATACTGTGATCATATCGTGATCATTATTTGGCTGAGAGTTGAGCACATTTGGTATTTTTTATTCTTTGCAATTCGGGATGGAAAAAATGTTCAAACAAGCACTTACAGCTTCCTAAGCCACTCTTTATTGCCTACTGAAAGCTTATTACCAGGCAAACAAAAAAGTTATCCATGCAGTGGGGCTATCTCCGCACTGCAAGGTGTAATTGTTCATTTTTTTAGGGGCTGAAAAAAAGCAGATTTACTTACCCGATCCCTACTCCTGCCAGCTCCCTCAGGGTGGTCCCCACAGCCTTTTCTCTCCTGGGCTTTGGCAGTCTAAGGCCTACTGACATAATCACATCCAATGAAGGTTTTATATACCTGCATTAGATGTGAGGATGCTGAGGGACAGTCCACCAGCCAGAGTTGAGAGGGAGAAGAGAAGAGAGCTGACCATCAGGGGAGCGAGGATCAGGTAAATAAATCTGTTTTACTCCAGCCCCTACACAAAAACAAGCACTTAACTCTTGCAGGGCTGGGGTAGCCCCACTGAAAGGGTACTTTTTTTGTGTGCCCCGGGATGGGTTTTAAAGTTGAGAAATGTGTCATTAATCACAAGCAAAGCTTAAAATTTGGAACGCTATTTTCTTTATCTTAATGCTAAAATACACAAAATAATGCAGCTCTATGTTCAGCCTCTTACAATCTTCTGTACTTACTAAAGAATTTTTGATTCTGTCCCTTCAGGCCCGAGATTTACACTACCCTAAGACAAAGACAGTGCCCCTAGCCCGGTGACCTTATTTACTCTGTTGCAGTTAAGCAGGCACAAAGGTCCTTTACTTGCCTCCATCCTGACAGTAAAGCAGCAGCAACAGACTGATTAGGTCAATGTTGTGCTCTTCCTACCACTAAGCTTGATCCTAGTCACATGCAATTGCATAAACTTGATTGACCCAAGTACCCAAGTGTGGAGAGATCTCAAAACAGCAGTTGGGAAATGGAACCCTTCCAATCTGAGAGACCTGGAGCAGTTTGCCAGAGAAGAGTGTTCCAAAATTCCTGTAGAGAGGTGTAAGAAACTCATTGAAGGTTACAGGAAGCAATTGATTTCAGTTATTTTTTTCCAAGGGCTATGCTACCAAATATTAAATGAGGGTGCCAATAATTTTGTCCAGTCCATTTTTTTAGTTTTGCATGAAATGTATCAGGTTTGGCTTTTTTTTCTCCACTTTTTTATGTCATACCAATACAAACAAAAGAAATAAAGATGAGAATGCCTTAAACATTTGTAATTGCAGCAATATATATGTGTGCATACATATCATGTGATATTACACTCATGCGTCAATAAAAGATGTGTTCTTCAGTAATTCTGGAGTGCCATACATGCATATTTTTGAGCAACACTGACATTTCTATTTTGCAGAAGGTACTGAATTTTGCTCCAACCATTAGACCCAATCTGTTTATTCTTTTTATAGAACTTAACCAATTTGTTAGAAACCTCACTACCTCTAGGTTTTATAACAATAAGTCAAAGCCTACTACTGCTCATTCATGTTGTTCTCCCTTGGCTTTGTCAGATTATGTTTCTGACCTTAAGGCATAGTTTGATCCACAGATTGTCCAAACATTATTTAGACCTAAATTAGTCTTTTCTCCTTACCAAGCAAAATTATTGAAACTTTCTATTGTTTGGTTTTAAATATATTCACCACTGCATAAAGTCCATTCCAATCTCCTTCAGGTGAACTTAAAGCTTTACAAGGGTTGAACTCTTCCACAGTCATTGTTATAAGACAGATTGATCAGAGGGGCAGCATTGTGATCCTCAATCGTAAGGATTACATTGCTGAATTCACATGCCTCTTGTCTGACAACAATATGTATTTCCTTTAAGGATTAATTTCTGTTCTTAATTAGTACAGTGTTTAAAGAGGGCATCATCTCCACTATTAAAAAACGTTTTTTATGTCATGATTTCTATAACACTCCCTATTTTTATTATCTGCCCAAAATATTAAAAAATCCAGACAAACTGCCAGGAAGGCCAATGGGCAGCCTCACTAGTGGGCTTTCCAATTATATATACTCATTTTGCTAGCCCTTGATAATGGCGCATTCAAGCCTACATTAAAGATTCTGGCCATCTCTTAGCTATTTTGAAAAATTACACATGGGAGGATTACTGCATATGGGTGTCCCTAGATGTCACCTTCCTCTATACCAGCATGCCACATAAATGTGGTATTTCTGCATTGCAGTTTTTTCTAGCAAGGGAACACAACATGAACAGCCGCCAAGCCCACTTCTTGTTGGAAGCAGCTAGATTCATCCTCCATCTCAATTACTTTATTTTCTGAGATAGATGTTATCTTCAGGTCTTTGGCACAGCTATGGTAGCCAGTTTCGCCCCCAGCAATTCCAAATTATAACACATTTGATATTAAGTTTACCTTTATGATTGAAAAAGTTAATCTAGTATTTCTGGATTTGGAACACACGTATAATACATCTCCTTGCATTTGTGCCAAGACATATTTCAAGTCTGTGGCAGGCAATTCTAACTTGCATTTTGACAGTTGTCTTCATCCTTGCTGGAAAAGGAATATTCCATTTGGGCAGTTTTGAAGGCTACAAAAAAATTGTTCCACCAAAGAGGATTTTCAGCTACAAAGTAAAATACTGCTAGAAATTCATAGTTTAGCATGCGTGTGCAAATATTAGAAAATGACTCTGGCACTAAGGTGGGCATTCTGTCTTGTGTCTCCTCCCCTCCCTCCTCCTCAGTGTAGTGCAAAGTGCTCTACATCACTTCCTGTTCATTCATGATTGTGGACATAGTAACTCATACTAAATCCACAATTTATGAATGGACAGGAACACTCAGTACAGAGGCTTCCTATTCATTCATAACAGGGGCTGCATGGAAAGAGATTGAAGACTCTGTGTAGAACTGGGGGTTGTAGTCACCCAGGACTCCCAGCCAGAGGGGCTGAGCAGTTCCAGGAAGCAAGTTCTTGTACTGGGAAAGAGCTGAATTTGTGGTTCTTCCCAGGTTTTCTGCATTTGGCATGGGATCCTGGAACTGGGAGATATCTAAGAGAATTGGAAGGGATGCAATCTCCATTCCTGGGTCCATCGTTTAGTAGTGGCCAGCACCTAATTGCACACCTGTGCACAGCCCTTATGGGAAGGGTGCTGGCTAATGTTCTGGGCTCCAGCTGGGAAGAGGAACAGAGTTGTTCAGGAGTCAAGAGGACTCCACCCAGAAGCCAGAGCGGAGCCAGGAGGCTGTGTGTGTGCTGGAGGCACCTGGGAGCCTGTGACTCACAAGGGATGTGTGGAAGAGTCACATGGAGGATATGTGACAATCTTGAGTTGGTAAGACATTGTTATATTCTCTATTTGCTGAAACATAAGCAGATTGTATGTTGCATTCTATACAGTACTGTACTGCATTAGTACAGTACTGTATAGCGTTGCCGATGTACAGTACTGAACAGTGTACTGTACATCGGGCAATGAAAATACTCACGGGGACGCGTTGTGAATAACGGTGGACGTCACTTCCCCCGGCGACACGTCGCACTGGCGCTGACGCGCGAGGTCGGAGGTCCCTTGGAGGACGGTCGTAAGTGCGAGTGGTCGCAAAACAGGTAAGTCGTTAAGCGAGGAGTATCTGTATTTATATGTTATGTCTGAAATGGATTGGTTACTTAGTTTGCCATTTCTCTATATTAGCTTCTGAGGTAGCAGGTACGCTGAGGAAGTGGAGTGTCTCCCTCAAACGCGTTCCCAGTATGTGGCCATGACAATTGTGGATGGAGTATTCCAGCTGAGAGACTGCGAGCTTTCCTGTGGAGACTTTTCTTTCTTGCTACGCAACCTCCACGGTCATCTGTGAGTGCAATATTATTGTTTTTATTGAACAAACAACCAGTCTCAACATACTACACCAGATGGGTCTCTTTGTGCTTTGTTAATTTTTGTCTTTCTCTGAGTGTTATTTATGACAGAACTGCATTCATTTGTCTATATTATATCTGCCCGGAGTTCAACTTTAATCTGTGTTATTGTATAATGGTGTGGTTCTGCTATATAGCATTTTTACATAATTTGCTGGTCTACAGTGTGTACTATAAAGTCATGTTTGCCCTATTTGCCTCTCACCATATACCTGCTGCTTTATCAAATAAAATATGCTTATGATGGGGTTAAGATCAGAAAGTCACTATTTAAAAGACTTTATATTAAAAGGATGCAAAAATCTTTTGACAGCAGCAGTGCACGCAACACAAAGCAAGGACATTGATCAGTTTGTCATCAGGTCTGCACTGAGGACTCAGCTACTGCACAGTATCAGCGTGCCTGTCTGTGTCTGGTAAGAAATATCCTCCCCCCCCCACCCTCTAGTAACACACAGGCTCGGCAATTTCCACAGCTAAGCACGGAACAGCTCTTTAAACTGGCCACAGCTCTTCTTAATAAGCTGCTGTGGAGACGCCCACCTCTTTATACAGCCCTAGGCAATGCCTAATCTCACCTAATGGAATCGCCTCCCTTTCCTGATACATATAAACCTCAACCTGCAACCTTGACACGCGGGACTGAATTGGTATGAGCAGCCTGGGCTCTATGGACTAAGTGTAGCTGGCAGGCTTTATGATGAAGTCAATTGAATGCAAGCTTACCTGAGTTGGAGCAGAGTCAACTGGGATCGTTCAGCACCTTGGACAGCACCTACACATCGTTTTGAAACTCTCCCATTGTGCAGGGAGAGGAACCCTCTGACAGCTCTAGAGATCACACATTGTACAAGTAGAAGAACCCTCTGGCAGCTCCAAGTTCTCACATTGTACAAGGATAAAAAGCCTCTGACCGCTCCAAAGATCTCACATCGCAGTGAGAATAACCCTATGGCAGCTCCAAAGCTTTTACCTGCGCCTGGGCTATTCTGCTGACCTCTCTCATTTTTAAGTATCATTTTTTGCACAGTGATAAGTCTTCTCCAATCATTTTGTAAAATATGACAAACAGGAAAAGTTTGCAAAGTAGCAGAGCTGGAAGACGCAAAAAGAAGGATTGAAAGGTTGATGGTTCCAGCCTGAGCTGGAAGGAAGGATGACCGGAGAAGCATGTGTACCAGCAGTCAGATCATTGGAAGTCTCCTGGTGCTGTCTGTGCTGGAGATAGGACTGGGCTTATCCAGCGTGGCAGTGGGAGCTGTCAACTTTGCCAGGGTCAGGAATAGGACGGAGCCACCGCCACAGCTGGGAGACTCTTCTCCGGTATGGAGCGGGGCGTGTGTACGTTAGCCATTTCACTACCTTTTTTCTATAACCTTGTGATTAGGTTAGGCATGTATCATAGTTCAAATGAGCATTCCCTAAGTCTCCTGTTGCTCATTAGATTTCCGGTAAGTGGGGTGATAGAGAAGGGTAAGCTTGCTGAAGAGTTTGTACTGTATGTCTGTGAGTCATGTTTGTAGTGGTCATTTTAATACAAGTTTTGATATATGATTGATTACACAGTTTCTGCATGACAAGTGAGTCTTAATTGTGTGTTACTTGTTGACTATTATGTGCACAGTGCCACTTACCCCCACAAGGCACCTTCTATAATTGTACCCCACAACCAGTGACTGGGGAGGCACATGGGGCACATAGGTCCCTTTGATGTTGCCTCCTTGGGAGGCATTGCTTTACCTGCTCTTTGAACATCTCAGTTGTATCCACCGCCCAGAACGAAGTTAACTTTGGAATGCATATTTGATATAATTGAATTAGGTGCTAGATAGTATTAATTTTTAAATAATGCTTTGAGTGATACTTCATTTTTCATAGCTGGAAAATTATTACATTAGAAAGTTCAAAGAGCATTATCCTGCATTAACCATATTTGCAAGTTGATGAAGACCACCAGCATTCAAGTAGTAGCATTTAATCCTTGTGCTTATTTAATAGAGTAAAACGTCACAAACATGATATAGCGAATGTTTCAGGGCCACGCAGGGTCCCTTCATCAGGACAACATAGTGACCTAATTGAGACATGACCAGTATCACCCATTATGTCTATTTTAGGCAAATCAGTTTTTTTCCTATCTGTTGCTGTAGGTTAAAACAATCAATGATGTCAATGATGTTTATAATGCCTTACTACATGTCAGTTGGTGCAGCCCATTATCCCATGTTTCATTTTAATATGACCAAAGAGATTGCAAAGGTCCGAAAGCTCTAAATCATAATATTGTATCTTGCTTTTTGGGAGGAGTTAAAGCTTGACTTCTGTCTGCCATAAAATCCCAGCCATGTTTCACTTTTCTCATGTATTACTTGTGTTATATGCATATTAGATCGATGTAGCTATCTATCCTTTATCTATCTATCTATCTATCTATCTATCTATCTATCTATCTATCTATCTATCTATCTATCTAGCTATCCTTTATCTATCTGTCTAATAATTATTGTTGTTTTAAATGTACAGGAATTATATAGCACCAATAGTTTCTGAAGCGCTTTACAAAATAAAGGGAGACAGGACAGTTACAATACAATTCAATACAAAGATTAGGAGGGCCCTACTCAGGAGAGCATAGAATCTAAAATGGAAGGGACAAGTCATACAAAAGGCCTTAACTGTTAGGGGATG